TCATCTATTTAAATAATGAAAAAGATCTCATGAGTTATCGAGACATCTTTGCTCTCCAAGTTTCGGCTGAATGAGAGTCTTCGTATTCGTCAGTATCGGAAATCTTTCAAAGTGGAAGAAAAAAAACGATTACCTGTTTGGCAGCTTCTTGATAGCAAAAGAAAACACTTTTAGCATTGACATTCATAATTCGATCAAAGTCTTCTTCTGTTGCTCCCAAAAATGGACCTGACCACAGTATACCAGCATTAGCAACCATAACATCAAGTCGTCCAAGTTCTTGAACTGTTTTATTAATCATTTCACGTACTTCATTTTGCTTTGAAACATCAGCGAAAATAATACAAGATTTATTATCGCCATAACGTGATTCAATTTCTGATTTGACTTTTTCAAGTTCATCTGACATTTTTGAGAGATCATTCACTGCTACATGAAAGCCATCACCAGCTAGACGTAGTGCAATGGCACGACCAATACCGCGGGCTGCACCAGTAACAAGTGCAACACGATCAGTTGCAGTTACTTGAAGATCAGGAGCACTTGCTTGCGACATATTCCTGTATGTGTGCGTGAAATAGTTGAAGATCTATAGAATATGCAAAAAACAACAACATGTTGTGATAGTAAAACACGGGAATATCCGCATCTGTACAAAGAAAGGTCACACTGATACTTTAAATTTGTTGACATAATTCTTACCTTTAGTCGAATTATGAGCACAACAATGGGTGATGATGTAGCGAAAAACTGACTGCTATAAAATGTAGATAAATAAAATAATAGAAATGAAACACGATAAAAATTTTAAAAGTATAAAGTTTATTTAAACAGATAGAGCACACAGTAGGCTGTTATTGTTGATGACACTTCTATTTCACCTTCATTCTTCTTTTTTGTCGTCTTTGTCACTCACCTTCACAGAAACAACAAAAAACTTTTGAAAGCTAAAACCTTCGTACTTTTCTTTTGTTAAACTTCAGAAATCATAACTTATATCCAACATACAATTATTTAACAAAGATATTCTTGAGAGGAATATATCCAAATCTATTAACAAATTCCTAAACTATCTATGGCTGGCACATTATAAACGAATGTATGAATCTAACGCATTCCATAATCGTGTAGTTTCAAGTACAAATGTTCATTCACACACATTGAGTGAATGTAAGTTAATGAGCAATCTTTGCTAACTAATAGCCCTGCGTTATAGGATATGTAACAAAATAGGGTAATTTGAATATTTTATAACGGATACACACTTCACCGATCGTGCTCGCTATATTAAAGCCTTCGTCCCCTCAGAAATGATGATTCTGAGATCAAAACATCCATTTTGAGAAAAGCACATGAAACGCCACCCTGAAATGTCTACTTTCAGAATCTATATCACTTTCGGTTACAGAAGTGATTTTTCGCGGCTTTCGAGAAAGTTTTCTAGGAGCCATAAAAAACCGGATCTTCAAATAACAGTTTTTTCCTGGATACTTATGCAACTAAATTTTTTTCTAAACGGACAGATTGTAGAGGGAACTCTTCTGACAAAAATAAGATGTCGGACAACTCTGTATGATCTTGCATTAAAAAGTTACAGGCATTTCCTACAAGCCCTAAAATTAAGCATTTTATACAGCGTTTACTACAGTATTTTCTCTACATGGACGTTACACCTGAAGTATTTCCCAAGATTTTTTAATATACTTCCAGCTAGAGAATTTGGATATGTTTTATTTTAAATTAGACACCTAACTACATAGGGTGAACACGTTTTCAATTAGGCCTTAGAAAACGATTTCCCACAAATATTCTACTTTATCTTTATTTTCTAATATAGAATGCACGAAATATAATAAAGAAAGAAATGCCAACTACAAATTCCCAACAAAATATACATAAACAGACGAAACACAAAAGGAAAGAATTCCTTGTTTTTGCAGGTTAGATGGACAAGAAAATACCGCATTAATCATCGAGTACACAATTTACAACAAAGGCGACGCAACGATTTCAAATGGCGTACGGCTCAATTTAAGGCATTCCTCTGCGAAATGAAATTTTCCCATATTTTTGTTATTAATAAAAGGCAGAATGTAGAAAATAAAATTTCTCAGCGTAAAAGGCGTCTTCTGTGCTCTTTGCTTCAAAAAAGGTGAGAATTTAAGCACGTCTTCTCTAGTAAAATTAGTGGCGTAACTAGGGAAAGCATTTGATGAGGCTCAGTCTCAACCTTTTTTATAAATTGAAAAAGGTCAAATGTAAAATTTATTCTAAGCTTTCAAGAATCGAGTCTACCCGATCACAGTGAATGGCCAGGATAAAGCTTAAAAACGTTGCTTGCACGCTGTAAAGCGACAAACAGACTTTGAAGCATTTCTGACCGCTCCTTTTAACCGCTGTTTTTTTTTGATAAATCTCAGTTTTCCATAAAAGCATGAGAAATTCATCACCGAAAGCAGTGAAATGCTCACAGCAGCTAAAAATATCAAAAATTTTTATGCAGAAATCTTTTTATCATCTGCTAGGAGCACGAAAGCTAAATGGACTGAAGTCGGTTTAGTTACCAACCACATTTCCTACAACGATTATCACCTACTTTATTCCCTGTTCTTAGGTTCTTTCTTAATAAGTCACTTTTTTTTATAAGGTTCTTTCTCTTTAAAAAAATGCAGTCCTAATCTTGAATGGAAAAGCTTTTATAAAAATCTAGGTTGTGGTACTCAAAGATCTGGAGCTGGGGCTGAACCATACCTAATCTCATCTTGATACGCAACTAAGTAAAATGAATTTCTCCAACTAGAAAATAGTCATTGTGGGCCAACATAAACATAAAATGTGTAAATATCCATATCCAATAGTGAAATGGGGTAAGACTCAGCCTAATTGTGCCAAATTCGGGTAAGACTTGAGTCTTAGCCAGCCTAGTGGTTCCGCCGCCTATAAAAAAAATCTCCATTTCGCTTAACCGATTCAACACATTGTATAAGGCATCGAGTACGATTGCAAAACGAAATTTTTCTTATGGCAAAATACTAAAACGACGTAAGAGTTCAGATTACTTGAGTAAAGTCTAAAATGCAGTTAACATACCGTGACACAACTCTTTCCCGAATGTCTCTTCCGCGAACCAACTCTTCCGCAAATTTTTCTTAAAACAAACTTAGATATTTCTGGCAGTGTGGAGAGAGGTGAGGGCAGTGTAAGAGTGAGTTCGAAAAGTAGTTTGACATAAAAGATATTGGCTTCAGATAGCCTTTCCCTTTTTGAGGTTCTTATCTGGTATGTCAGTATTTTAGGTTAAAGTTATCACGTTGATTCATAATTAATTGCGTTTTTTTTCTATTTTCAAAAACCATTTTTATTTGAAACAACAAGACATGAATCAATGATATATTTTCCATCTCTTTCAATTACTTCGTCCCATCTTTCTGGCAGTTTTCGGATGCCTCTGGCGTAGAAATCGACCGATTTGGAGGCCAAAAAGACAGTAATCTCTATTTCGAACGTTTTACCCCTCAAGTGATTCTTCAGCGAGCGGAAAAGTTGGTAATCCGATGGAGTAAGGTCTGGAGACTACGGTGGGTGCGGCAGAATTTCTCACTGAACCTCTTTGATTTTTTCCGAAATGTATGGTTGCGCATCGTCGTGCAGAACAATGACTCCTTTTGATTGACCAAAGAAGACTGTTTTCGAAGTAGAGCTCGCTGAAGTCGGACCAACTGCTGTGCGTAGAGACCGCCAGTTATTGTTTCGTTCGCTGGAAGCAGTTCCCAGTAGATGACTCCCTTCATATTCCACCAGACACACAGCATGACTTTCCTCGGGTGGAGAGAAGCTTTGGGTGTCGCTTTTGGCGTTTGGTCCTTGTCTATCCATTGTTTTCGTCGCTTGATGCTGACGTAGAGAGCCCACTTTTCGTCCCCAGTCCCAATTCGATCCAAGAAGGGCTCACGGTTTTGACGAGAAGCGAGAAAAGTGCAGGTTTCGAGTCGTCGCATCATGTCGTATTCCGTCAATTCGTGAGGGATCCATTTTCCGAACTTTTTCATCTTTCCAATCGCGTGAAGGTGTCTATGGATGGTTGACTGTAAAGAATTGAGCCTCTCAGCCAGTTCTCGTTCCGTCAGATCAGGTTTCGCTTCGACGACAGCACGCAGGGCATCACGATCGAAGTCGTTGACATGTCCACGCCCAGGTTCGTCTTCCAAGCTTGTGTCTCCCGATCGAAACTTCACAAACCACCATTGGTACGTTCGAACAGCCAGAATATCTTTACCCCAAGCCGAACCGATGTTCCTAGTGGCCTCCGTCGCTTTCCTTCCGAGTTTGAACTCAGAGCATGCAGTGTCGAATGTGCTCATTTTCTTCCAACATTATGATCTAAGATTTGACTCATAAAAATATATCGAAAAAAGAGAAATAGCAAAACAAATAATATCACAAAATGACCAGCAATTCGCGAGCTTCATTTTGCCACATAAATCTTATCATATCACTGTTGGTAAGATGTAGCTTCGATAAGTCTAAAAAAACGCAATTAATTTTCAATCAAGCTGATATTTTAAAATCTTTTTAGCGGCTACGTCCAGTAAAATCTATTTGTAAACCCCACTACTGGACACGAAATTATCCAATAATAATTTCGATCCAGTTTTTATTAGAGATTATGAATTAGATATTACTTTTTAATCAAAGAAAAAGTACAGAAAAAGAGAAAATAATACATTATTAGCTATTGGCGGAAGAGTCGGTGATTCTTAATATACAAAATGGCTGTTACGCAGTGACTAGGCATGGAACGGTAAAATTTATCGTTACCGTTTTATCGATCTAACCAGTTTTTTCGTTATTGCTTTACCGGGTTTACCGTACCTTAGCGGTTTAACGTTTGATATAAATGTATAAGAAAATCTAGTAGAAAGTGAGCCGTAAACGGCCATAAATGGTGAAATACGTCGATTTACGGCCCCATATACGGCGAAATACAGCACCTAAATGACCGTAATTTGATCGTAAACGTGGCGGCAGTAATATATGCCGTATTTCACCGTATATACGTGCCGTATCAGCGCCGTAAATCGACATATTTCACCATTTACGGCCGTATACGACCTGAGCTATCCGACCTCGGCTGTTTTCAATAAAAATAGTACCATACAATTCTTCGTGACGAAGGAACATTACATATTTTGCTTTTAAAAAAGTAAAGAAATACTCCACAGTAAAACTCCCATGTTCTAATTGCGACCGGCCACTCTAACACGATTCTTGTCTGAAATGTCAGGAGACAAGAATCTTGCAAGAAATTGGACAAGAAAGTCGACTTCAAGCTCTCATATAAACTTTCTCTTACTGTTTCTTTTTTCACTATACGCAGTGATAGACTGCAGTACTGTATATACCTCATATTTGAATGATGGGAAAGAAATTAAAACACTATTTCAATCTACTCTGTTGACTCTTTGAGCCGATAAAATATAGAAAGAAAAGTCAAAGAAGAAATAAAAAACCGTTAAAATATCAACATCAATACACTCTTTAAATAATCTCACTTTCTACTAGATTTTCTTATACATTTATATCAAACGTTAAACCGCTAAGGTACGGTAAACCCGAAAAAGCAATAACGAAAAAACTGGTTAGATCGGTAAAACGGTAACGATAAATTTTACCGTTCCATGCCTACCCACTGAAAAAAATAATCAAAATTCATGCAGGATCCCGCGGGTTATCGGTATTAAAATATCTGGCCATGTTTCTTACCTTTACGCAGGATTTTTATACAACCAGCCCTGACAGAACCCTGCATAGTTTATGTAGAGTCAGCATGGAAAAAGTCCTGCGTAAAGATAAGAAACATCGCAAGACTTTTTGACTTATTCAATCCACAAGTTTTTTCCTACGAGATCTGGCAGAATTTTGTTGGTTGAAAGAAAAAGGATTTTGTTCTCCATGTCTATCCTG